AAGGATTCATACAAATGAAAGATTTGTTTTGTACTATTATTGATGGTAATGTTTATTTCATTCATACCATGTCTTCTTAGGCAGTATATTTCAAAAACTGATGGAATTCTCATATTTTTAAAACTTGGTGTCATATTTGTAAAATATGTTATCTCACAGTATCATGTGCAAAGTTCGAAATTTGATTATTAATTTGCATATACAAAAGTGTACTAAAAGTATCTATCTTTCTATATAGTGGATAATATGCAAAGCACCTATTAAAAAAAATAAAGGAGATATATTTATTTGAAATTAAGAAGCTCCTAATCTAAATGTCTAGCTGAAAGGCTAACAAAACCAAGGCCTAGAATCCCAGTGCATATTCATGACATGATGATACGATGATATTTAACATACAATTTAGTTCAACCAAAAAGTTGAACAGGACTTTTAAACAGGAATCATTCACAATGGGCTATACGTGTAATAAACGAACTTCCGTACTCTTTCTTGTTATTTTAGATGAATGATTGTTGCAAGATGCAACGAAATCAATGAATGGATCATTCAACTTTTAACAATATTTTTATTGAAAATTGTATAGTCTATAAGACATGTATCATAGAGTAAACTTGAAATTCGTAAACTTAGTAGAAAATCTGAATATCGATGAGTAATTTTAAGGAAGAAAAAAATGTCTCAGTTAAAATTGTATATTTTTACTCGATACAGATTTCGGAACTCCTCATCTGGTTAACAGTGTTGATTCCTAGAAGAAATATCTGGTTTTCTTATTCTTATTTCTTAAGTTTATAGTTTGGTCCACAACGCGCATTAATCATGCAATATCAAATATTATTACATACTTGGTAATAAATACAGGATTTTTGCATATACGATATGGCTGACGTCACAATAGCCGTATTAGCCCTGCAGGGTTGATATGGATTTGCGGAGCTGATATAGGATATCAGCCCTGGAGGGCTGATACGGATACTGACACCTCTAGTAAATTAAACCTCAAAAAACAGTACTTTTGATCATACACATATTTTGGTATTACATAATTCTCTTGATTTTAACTTTTTGAATGTAATGATAATCTAACTGGTAAATAATAGATTATTTTAAAATTACGGATTGAGGACATCTGAAATAGAAATACATGCAGAAACAAACCGAAACTGTATGAGACAATAGACTGTGTACATTTTAAGAAGTCTGTGCATGATTATTTACTTATTTTCTTCTCAACTTAATGTGTTCTGTATTTTATTACTAAGTATGTAATAAATATAATAAAACATACCCTTTTCCACATCACATCCTGTATCAACCCTCGACCAATATCAGCCCTCGGGCCTTCGGCCCTCTGGCTGATATTGGTATCTCGGGCTGATACAGGATGTGATATGGAAAAGGGTATGTATTATTCTCTATTTAAAATATATGTAAAATACGGTTTTGATATGACTTAAATTTGTTTTTACTTTTTACATCGACTCATGAGAGGTGTGGCACATGGTCCTCTTTTTTCACAGTATTGCAATGTTTAATTTTTTAGAGTATGCTAATTATCCATATAACGACGAGAACGTAGCTGTAATTGTGTGTGGAAGAAGGACTAAAATTAACATTATTACTCGAATCAATACATGGATCTAAAGCACTATCTGGGTATATAAAAAAAAATCTTCCTCACAATATCCAACAATAAAAGTCATATGTGATATGTGTCATATTTTTGATAAGTTCAGACTAACTAAAATTAAAAAGATATTTCTATTTGTTTTGTTACTTTATATAGGCGGAACTTTCCTGTAGATTACATAGTTTAAATCAATCGCGTTTCATAGATATCCGAGTTGTTTGAATATCAGACAAAGTTAAAAGTAAAAACTTCAGAAACTTGGGAATATTTAAGTTCAAAATCAGTGAAAAATATAATTTGAACCTAAGTAGCAAGTATCATGTTAATCTACACTTAATCTCGTACTTTTATTTTTTAGGTCAAATACGTCATATATACTTTAAATTTTCACATTTTTTCAATTCACAGCGGTGGTTTTTCTGCTTCTGTTTCCTCATTAATTTACAGAAAAATTAATTCTAATTAACTCTATTCTAATTATCTTTTATTTAGATGACATTGATTTTGGAGGGCCTTCTCCCCTTACAGCGGCATTCTTTTTAGCTATCGGCTGTTTACAAAATGGTTCAGGTAATGTTCGAGAGAGAATTAAATGCGTACGGTTTTCATTTTTAAACACTATGGATATGAAAAAAATTATGTAAACTAGAGGTTTTACATGTAGATCATATACGGAATTCTAAAATAAAATATGATCTGCCATCTTTGAGTATATGAATAATAAAATATTTTTCATGAATTCTCTTTATATCATCTTACCTTATTCAGATCGTCTACACCTTCTATAATGCTTACATGAAACTTAAGTGAACTTTTAAAATATTCTTACAGATGACATCTTTAACTGTTTAATTTATACATTTAATAGCACATATGAGAAGAAATGGTGATTTTCGCGTTCATCCTTGAATAATTCTTATATCTGACGGCAAACCCACGGACTTCACTTTAGTTACCGATGCTGATGATCCTCTTCCATATGCAACTGCAAGGGTATTCAAACAGATTACGAGTAGTACAGTCTGTTACAGGCTTTAGTGTGCAGAAGAACCATCAATTTTATAATATTTATCACATCTTTAAAAAAATGTTAAATTTCATAACAATTCAAACGCAATTACGTTCTTATTGTAAGTAAAAAAATACCGCTAATGAAATTAATGTTCGTGGGTACGCAAAATTTCATTGGTACGTGGGGATGTTATTTTATGGGTAACCCGTACTTGTAAATAATGAAGATCCATTGGAAAAATATTTCTTAATTGTTCATGGTGATGTACAAAATTTGGATACTGTAAATTCACGAATCTTCTTGAGGGTTTAATGTTCGTGGATTTCGTGGGTCACCCTTTATCTGCAAAGAACAAAATTCACCGTGGGCCTCTTATGGCTCTGTGAATTTCTGGTAAATCAGAACTGCTCATTTTTAGTTGAAAATATGTTAATTTTTACCTGGACCCTTGGTGATTTCATATCAAATAAAAATGACGTAATTTTTTCTCTTGTCCATGCATTATGACGTCATGAATTGTGTCATTTTCCACAAATCTTGAAAATTTCTTTAAAAATGGCCAAAATTTCAAGACGTTTTTGAATATTTTTACATAACCCCCAACCTCTGATCTAAAATGTTTAACTATATAATGAAAGAACTCTTTCGGAAGATTCTAATCCATGAAACAATTTTTGGATTGCAGGGTGGGCTCATATTTTAATCAATAGTTGAAGATGCTCAAATTCACTCATTTTCTTCAAAATTCAAGAAATTTGAAGTTTCATATAGCCTGAGTATCAAAACCTGGACTCTCATAGGAATTTTTTGATAGGAAATGAAATTGCACTAAGTCTCCACATTATGTTGATGTTCGACATGGGATATAAGGACTTGGTCAGTTAATAAATATAATGACAGGGCCATTTTATGGAGTTAGTGAACCTACCTCTTTACTTCACCATGAACAATTGAGAAATATTTTGCCAATGGATCTTCAGTATTTACAAGAAAGAGTTACCCATAAAAAACTGTATAGCGGGTTATTTTAGCGGGGTGCTAATTTTGGCTTATTTTGGCGTTTTGATGGTAGCACGCTAAAATTTTATTCGCTAAAATATTCAGTACTCTTTTTAGTGTTCATCTGCAAAGAGCTGAAACTCTGTATCCGCTAAGATAAACGACGCCAAAAATATTGGCATACCTCAGAGCAGGCAAATCGCGAAATTTTACACCCGCCAAGAAAACCCGCCATACGGTAACATCCCCACATACCAATGAAATTTTGCGTACCCAAGAACATTATTTCTCACGAATTTTAATTATTTAACAGAAGAGGGTTACATAAAAGTGTCAAGTCATACTTCCACTATAAATACCAAAGTTGAAATGTGCCAAAAAAAAGAGTTTCGATGCATAAACCAGAAAAATACCCTTTATCCGTTTGTATTTGTATTATTCGTAATCTGTTTCAGGATAAAGATCATTTGTTACAATTAACGAGGGGACTTGGAGAGCGTCACCCGATCTTTTGTATTCCTATCGGAAATAATCCCGATATGGTACCTCTCTCTCTCTCTCTCTCTCTCTCTCTCTCTCTCTCTCTCTCTCTCTCTCTCTCTCTCTCTCTCCTTATTTTAAATTGATATTTCAAGTATTAAAGCATTATTTTATCACAAATTAGCATATGCATTATGCAAAAATAATTAGAAAATTCTTGTAAACAATCTCTTCTTTACGGACATTTTTAGAACATATTAGTGGTCAATCAAGGGGAGGAAAGATCGTTCACCCCGAGACATAAGGCAATTTGCAAAGTACACTGAAAACTTGGTATGAAGCTCAGTAATTTTCTGTTCACTTCTAGTGATATATTTCAGTAGAAACAATATTTGGATATTATCTGGCTTTTCTTTTTTGCCCTCTACATGCAATGAAATATGTCAACATGCGAGAATAATATGTCAGCATGCAATACGATTGTCTTCATCTTGCATGTAGGGGACAGAAGTATGCAACCATAGTTTCACTAATTTACACATTAAAAAATGATATTTAAAAATTATATACATGTATTTCTAAATTTGATTATTAATTTGATTTTAAATTCTTTAGACATTAGCAAATCTTTTAATATTAGAATAGTGCTGCTATGTTGCCGTTCACGATGAAGAATGATGGTTCTGACCGCGAAATGGTTCTAACATTGCTAGCTTGCGAATTACAATGGAAAGAGTTCACCGAGCAGGATCAGGTAGAATAATTATACTGACATGAAGATGAAACACGTCCGTGGTATTTATTTTCCATTGGCGGCCTTTTTGGTTCATTGCAAATTTCTCTGTTTATTAATTATAAGTCAAGGTACATTTGTAATATGCATTTAGAAATTTGTTGAAGTATATTTCATTTGCATTTATTCAGGATGATATAATTGAAATTTGTTCGAAAAAGTCTCTGTACAGTTCATGGGATGATTTAAGAACAGAAATTCCGGATGAATTGTTTAAGGAAAGAGACCCACGAATGCCTCCTTTGGGGTCAAGGGTCAAGCGTGGGAGGGACTGGAAATGGGCTAATCAGGATAGTTTTGGTCCTGGTACAGTTACAGGGCATCAAAAAGACGGTAAACGAACGTAAAACATTTGTTTAAAACTGTGTTTAAAACCTTACCAATTGAAGCAATACCAAACAATATTTACAATATGAAAATGCATTGTTAGCTAGACTTATAGAGGACATACATGTACAGTTTCTCATTTGTTCTCTGTTGCATTCACATACATCACTATTGCAAAGGATGTATTCGCTTTAACAAAAGAATTGACCGATAGGAGAGAACAATTTCCCGGAAAAAGTGACATTTAAAAATCTATCTTCATTTGTTGGTTTCTACCGTACATATGTCTAAATTTTTTAAATTTGTATTTTATACCTAAAATTTATTATTTACAACTTTACAATAAATCTCCAAAGTTGATCGAAACACCATTTTGTCCTTTAAAGCGTTGATTTTTGCATGAATTTTGGCCTTGAAGTCAATCAGGGCAGGCCTGCCCCTAAATAGATTTGTGATATTTTGATAGGTTAGGATGTAAGGAATAATTTAAGATAAGAATTTTTTAGCCGCACCCCTGCCCTGGGGTCGAAATTCACAAAAAACCTACAAAAAATAAGGAAACCAGATTTTCATAATCTGCTTTAAATTTATGCTATTCATTCTTATAGTCAGACTGGCTCAGTTGATATGTGCGCTGACTTTTACACCTTCGATACTCTCTTTTTAAAGTCAGGGGTTCGAATCCACCTTGTACAACACTTAAATAAAGTTTTAAATTTCGCCTTTTCAAAGACTATTTTAATTTTTTTATAGACTTGTGTATATTTTTCCTTCAATTTTCTATCCCTTATGCATGCCCATTCTTGATATAAGAAACACTAAAGAGATATCAAATCGTAACAATCCAATGTACAGTTGTCAGTCAGGTGGAACGAACCTCAGCATATAAGCACACTTTCTCCGAGGACAAGAATAACTCACTGTATGTTACTCAATACGGGTATTCTTGGCAGCGTTGAGCTGCGATGAATTTCAATTGTATATATTCCTTTGAATTTAATCACATTGATTTTGACAATACATTTCAGTAAATGCACTCCCTTGGATTTCATTTAGGCCTTTATAATTTGCACACATTAATGAAAAGTTTTCATTATCTCTACGGATTAATAGCCTAGACATAAAGAATAGAATTTCAGAGACAGAAGACATTACCTTTATGCACAATGAGAAGTAAAGACAAATATCAAGAAGACCTATTACATTTGGAGATAACAATCTCAGAAAATCAACAAAAAAAGGGGGGGTTCCCCTATTTCTACTCACTGAAATAAAGATTTAGGAAAAACAAATTGTTATATGTATTCAGCCTAATGTCATTATTCAGAACGGAAATCGACAAGCTTTTTGTAGAGAATAAAACCAAGCCCAGTCCTATAGGTCAGATTCCTATTTATAATGAAGTGATCCTTCATAGGAGATATGAATAAGAATACAGATTGGATTTTTTCTAATTGAAAATATATTGAAAGCATCTAGATGAGTGACCAAGTTTTGTATCTTGTATTAAACAGCTGGATGGTTAAATGTAGAATGGGATACAGGTTTGAGTTTCGGCTACAGATACGGTACTACAAGTACTGAGAAGGATAAATATGACGTCGATGTTTGTGAGGAACCTAGGATTTTGGAAAATGAAATGATTGCCACAGGATGCTTAGTCACTAGAGGTATTTGTAATGCAGAAAAGGCTCTGACACCTAGAGAGAAGAAATAACAATTTTAAAGAGTCGAGGAAATCATAGAAATGTATCTATCTAGGTCCAGATTGGGAATGGGGAGACCAAGATGGCGGAGATGGAAGTATTGGATCCGTTTACAGAGTTAAAGGTAATGCCGTTGTTAATGTGCGTTTATAATAGCTATATTTAGCTATTTAATTTTCATTAACCCGTTATAATAAAAAAAAAAATCAATAATTCGATTTGATTTTCTGTTTATGAACCTCTCATAAATTTTAATAATATAGAAAGAAGTATTAAACATTTTAAAGGCAACCATGCCTGCTGTTCATTCGTTTCATAAAGCACTGAAAGAAATATTTATTTTTAAACTAACATTGTTCGTTTGTTCTTCAACAAGGTGCGTTGGGAAAATGGTCAAATGAGTGAATACAGGTTCAGTTTTGAAGGAAAATTTGATCTTTTGATCTGGTTAGCAGCAGGTGTGGCACGATAAAGATCCCTCCCTGCTCAAAGGCCGTAAGTGCCGAGCATAGGCCTAGATTTGCAGCCCTTCACCGGCAATGGTGACGTCTCCATATCAGTGAAATATTCTGGAGAGGGACGTTAAACAGTATACAATCAGTCAATCAGTCTTGATTATCGTCCCCATTGAATACAAGTACAGAGATAACGAAGGAACAGTATTCAAGCTCAAAGGTTCGTTTTAACAATAGAAATCGGGAGCAAACATGGACATTCAAAAACATCAGAGTGCAAAAGGATCAGGTGTCATGGGGATTGAGCGTCCCCCGCAGATTGGTCACACCCGTTGTGTGTTCTTTAATTTGTCATGATCAGAAAAAAAGGAGGAAATCCATAGATAATGAAATGGCAGAACAATTAGTATGAAAAACGTCAGTCAGCATGTGACTTGCACATTTGTTGTTTTTGCTGACAAGGTCATTGTACATGCATCGACCATAATCTATTGATACCTTGTTTCATCAACTTGGTTGTCGATAGCTTGCTTCGTTTTAGGAATCGGTCATACGTAGAGCACTAGTACATAAATATTAAGAATGAAATTGTGAGGTAAAATGGTTGCTAGACAACTGGAGTATTATATGACTTAATTTTTGTTGTTGTTGTTGTTGTTGTTGTTGTTGCTTTTGTTATGCAAATGGGCTTTACAGTTTATGCAATGTTAAATATAGTTGTTCAAGACAATTCGTGTTTGTATTCATTGTAGACTAATTTAATTAAAAATCTCTACCATTAATTAAAATTACTACCATTAATTAAAAATCTCTACCATTTATCTCCCTATCAACAACAGCGACCCGTTCTCGCCGGAGTCTGCCAGGTATCTTCGAGACCGAAAGAGAAAAGCCGCAGCTATTTGCCCTGTGAAGGATTCATCCATGAACGTTAATGAAAATGCTTTCTTAACAGGTACTTCTACGGTGGCTGGTATAGGACATGGTATGAGAATTTTTTTTTATTAATTCGTGGCCACGAAATAAAATTCGTGGGAACGAAATAAAAATTCTTGGGAACGAAATAAAATTCGTGGCCACGAAATAAAATTCGTGGGAACGAAATAAAAATTCGTGGTCACGAAACAAAATTCGTGGCCACAAAATAAAAATTCGTGGCCACGAAAGAAAATTTGTGGGAACGAAATAAAATTCGTTGCCACGAAATAAAAATTCTTGGCCACGAAATAAAATTGTGTTATATAATGTCATTTTTAGCTTCATTCAAGATGAACGGACTTATTTTTATCATTCAATTGGACTGAGCCAAATGGATTTTTGTTTGGGTATTGAATAATATGCCTGAATCATCATTAATTATTGAAAATTGATTTTTGCCGGTTAATTGCATGAAGAGCTGGTGAATGAATAAATAGTATCAATACTGATCTGACTAGTTCATCGCATTTTTCCATAACAATTACATGTACCTTTATTGAAGAGCACACACTTTCATTTGTATTACACAGTTGAGTTTTATGTGAAAACAATCATGACAATATCTGAATATTGCTTTCATTTTTAAGATGTCACGTTCCCGATAATAGGGGCCTACTCCGCCACTGATTGTAAAATAAATAAACTTTGAGTTATTGACTTAAAAAAGCATTACAATTACACGTATTTATTTGAAACATCTAACAATAAATGTGTGAAATACATTGAAAAATGCACTGGACATAAGCTTAGCTATTGTAAATAACATAATATATTGTCAGCTTTTTGTCTGCGCGTCTATGCACATTGGCGTCACGAACCCGATCTGTCAATACATGCACTAGAATTTTTATCTTTTATTTCGTTCCCACGAATTTTTATTTCTTGGCCACGAATTTTTATTTCATTCCCACGAATTTTATTTCGTGGCCACGAATTTTATTTCGTTCCCACGAATTTTTATTTCGTGACCACGAATTTTATTTTGTTCCCACGAATTTTATTTCGTGGCCACGAATTTTATTTCGTTCCCAAGAATTTTATTTCGTGGCCACGAATTAATAAAAAAAAAATTCCCATACCATGTCCTATACCAGCCACCGTATACTTCTCATAATAAAAGCTGTGTCGATTTTTGTTTTCAATGGCTAGCCAATCTGTTCGTAAAAATTTAAATACAATTGTAAAATTTATAAATACAATCTTGTAAATTCTATAATTACAAGTTTTGATGTGTTAGTATATTAAATTGTGAATGGAGAGGTTTTTGTATCTGGCAAATCTCTAATAGTCTTTAAAAAGAAGAAGAAAAGATTTCAATTTTTAGAAAGTTGGAAATGTAAAATTCACAGATCGTATTTTCTCTTTAAAGCACCAAGCACCGGCTCCTGTTCATCTGCTAATGACCATAATTTTAAGACTGAGAGGACATGCGAAAAACCTGTGGAGAGTCCTCCTATCTTGAAAGTTTCCAGGGGAAAATATTTTAAGAATGATAGAATGGATGATGAACTTTCTGACATAGAGGTTGACTGCGAAACAAACTCTTTGATAAATAATGCCGTCGATCAGTGGTTTTGGAAAGATGGTAATGGAAAATGGATTCCATATCCCAAAAAAATGAACGATAAAATCAACAGAAGTTACAAACGAAACCCTGGTTCCACTGTTGTAGTTACAATAAAAGACCAAACGTAAGTTACTTTTCGAATATGTGCATATACATAATTATGCATATGGAATAAAGATTTCATAAAAAAATATTATCATAAATAAATAGCCATTCGTTTTATCATTTTGTTTCAGATACAGGGTAGTTATGGCCAAAAATATGCATATAAATTTGACAACAAGGGAGGAGTCTAAAGTTAAATTTGTAAAATTTGATTTATAAAATAAAATTACTTATTTGGCTTGATTTATTTCTTTGACTTCTACTTTTATCTATCTTAATGAAGAGTTTGAACAATTTTGACCACTTAGGTTCATCAATTATTTCGCTTTTTCCATTTTATTTTGATCTAGGTAAAATATAAATATAAAATACTGGTATAAAAACCCTAAATTTAAGCTAAAACTAAGCATATAATTTTTTTTTAAAAATCATACTCTGTTTTAGTATCGGAGAGTATGATTTTTTATAAAAGGCTAGTTCTAGCTTTAATTTAAGATTTTTAAGTTGTAATACTTTGTGAATATGTCATAGAAAAATACTTTATTTTATAAAGTCAAAGAATCCTTTGGGTACGTAACATGGTGGGAATGGGAAGGGGGGTCCAGTCTAAGCATCTGTTAAATAAACCTCAGAGGCCGGGATACATTTTTCTGTTCGAATATTTGAACTATAAATATCAGTAATCGATGCTGGAGGAGGTTATTGGTCTAAGAAGATTTAGTTCTAGTTTAGCCTAGTTACAAAAATTTTATTTCAAGAAGTACAGTATAAGATAAAACAAGATTTATCTGTGACATTTAAAGACCCCGGTTTTTTACAAAAATATAAAGTTACATCAATAAAAATGAAATCTTTCTGACTTGGTTTTTTCATAAGAAATATTTTGATGTACGAGTACAAAAGATTTATATAGAACCATTTATTTTAGCAAAAACGTTATTGTCCACGAACTTTTTGGACAACCCTGGAATGTATATCAATTTTGGACTTGAAGAGATATATGTATAAGATGAAGATATTCAAAATTGATAGCAGCAACATGTAAATATTAAAAGAAAAGAAAGTAACAAAAGAAAGTAACAAAAGAAGATAATGATAAATTTTAGCAGTTTGGGATTGCAGTAAAACTCGTTTAGTACGAACACGGATAAAGCGAATTCACGGATATACCGAAGTTTTTCTGAGTCCCCGGCAAAATTCTAAACAAATCTTTGTAAAATTTTACGGTTATAACGAACTCTGATATAACGAATTTACGGATATAGCGAACTGATTTTGAGTCCCGTTGAGGTTAAATATAATGAAATTGACATCTTTTATAACGAACTTTCAAAGATTATTAAAAAGAAATGATAAAATGAACTTACTTTATTTCCTTTTAGCATTTGTATATAAAACTCAATTCATAAGAAAACCTTAGTTATCGAAGATATGTTTAGTTATATTTGCTTCACTAACATAGATGGTAGTAATACTTGAAAGAAAACATGCATAATGCGAATTCGTTATAATGGTTATACGAATTCGTTATACGGATATAACGAATTACGGATATAATGAATTAAATTCACAGGTCCCAAGGACTTCGCTGTAACCGAGTTTTACTGTACTTATAATAAATGTATGGCAAGCCCTTTTACTATTTATTAGTGAAATAAAAAAAAATGCTTTCAATAAGAGAGATATCTCTCTAGCATAAAGAGATATCTCTTTATCTTATATAGATATCTCTCCAACTTTAAGAGATATCTCTTTTGCTTAAAGAGATATCTCTTTAAACAAAAGAGATATCTCTTTTTGTAAGAGAGATATCTCTTTCACTTAGAGAGATATCTTTATAAGCTAGAGAGATATCTCTTTAAGCGAGAAATATATCTTTTAAAGTTAGATAGATATCTCTTAAATAAGATTAAAAGAGATATCTTTCTTAGTTAGAGAGATATCTCTTTGGATTTCCAAAAAGAGAAATCTTCTAAGCTTCAGAGATATCTCTTTTAAAGAAATTTTAAAGAAATTTCCCTTTTCAAGTGATCTTTAAAATAGAATGATGAATTCTCCACTTTAAAACGAAACCAAAACAGGAAGTAAAGTCTCTGAAATAGTTTCGATGTTATAAGAAAAAAGACTGAGCAAGCATTTACCCAGAATAATATATGTACTGTGTATGCAAAAATGCTATAAATCCCTTTCTTGAAACAACAAATAATAGTGGCAACTTTGTTGATAAAAATTCAGGAAGATGAAAGTAAACACATATATATAATCTCAAATGTAATTGACTGAATTTTCTCAACTTATAAAATATAAGCAACTATTTCTAATTTGAAATCTACACAAAACTGAGATATTATAAGCTATAATGTAAAATATCATGAATAGGTCGTATTCAAAATTATTTTAATGTACTTCCGTGAATAAAAAGCTTAATTCCGGTAAAGGGGGAAGTCATTTTAAATGATATTGAAATAAAAATAATGAAGAGAGATATCACTTTGCAATAAAGGATATCTCTTTTTGCTTGAGAGATATCTCTTTTGGACACTTTTGAAAGATATCTCTTTCACTTTAAGAGATATCTCTTAAGGTAAACTAAGAGAGATATCTCTTTAACTTTATGAGATATCTGTTTACTTTGGAAAGATATCTCAAAAAGTAAAAGAGATATCTCTCTATGTGAAAGAGATATTTCTTTGACGTTTAGAGATATCTCTTTTCACGAAAGAGATATCTCTTATGAAGAAAGAGATATCTTTTCAAGTGGAAGAGATATCTCTCTAATAAAAAGCGATATCTCTCTAAATATAAGATATCTCTCTAACTTCAAGAGATATCTCTTTCTCAAAGAGATATTTCTTAAAAATGAAAAATATCTCTTTAACTTGGGAAATATCTCTATTTTTCAAGAGATATCTCTGTAATTTTAAGATAGATTTTATTTTCCGAATAAAGACTTAGTAGCAAAAGGGCTTGCCATATAAATGCCGTTAAAACATAGATAAGTAACATATGCACAAAGACTTTGTACTAAATATTAATATTACTACATGTAATCTTGCATTTATTTGGTTCTTTTTTACATTAAAAATTCATTAAAAATTTATATTTCATATTTTAAGGGGGCCGACTATAGTTTCCATTGCGCAATATTTCGTTCATCTTAGTATAATGAAGCGTATTTACTGTTTTAATGCAAGTTTTTTCGCTTAATTATTAAAATTAAACAAAATTAAGAAATTATAGGTATAAAAATGTAATTACAATTTGATATAACTGATTTTTTAACCAATTTTGCAATTGATAGGTAAGTTGACGTCGTTGCAGTGTGTTTTTGACGTTATGATAATCTGTAGCTCTTAAAGAAAGGGGTAATAAAAATATTATTAAAGAAAAAGTAATTAACATACGCTCTTGAAATTTAAAACACAGAAATTTGAGTTTATTTCCAATATTTTTAATATGTTTTCATATGAATCCGTTGTGTACGTCATATTTTGTAATACTCTATAAAAATAGTAAAATTTGCTAATTTTTTGCATTTTGAGATGCCCCCTCTGGTAACAAGACGGTAGAATTTTGTGTTTCGTACATATATTGTATAATATAGTATTACTCATCAAATATTATAGTTTGAACAAAATGTCTATTGTAGTATTTGTATAATTTTCTTTAAAGTGCTAAAAATTGGCATTTTCTTATATAATTCTACAGTAAATGTACCTGTATTTTGCGACAGTCCCTCAAAAATACCTGGACGGTAGATTTCCCCCAAACTCTGCATGTACATTGAAGTTAGTGTAAGTTATATATGGTATAAAAATAAAAAGTTTCGCTATTGTAGTTTTCACACAATAAAACTATCGTCGGCCCTCTTAAAATTTTGATTAAAAAATTATCCGGCTTGATAAACAACATCATTCTCATAAAAAATAATGACATGAATGTATATATATGTAATCAGATCGCAATATATACAAATCTTTTAAGCATATTTGATAAACAGTTGTTGTGTTTTTTATACACTAAAATGTCTTTCAAATTTTTGTCTCTTTTATAGGCAACGATTGGGGTCTTTTTGAACGCGAGTTTCAGGCGATCGGAATTTTCAAGAATTTTTTGCCTTTTCTTCAAAATGTTATGAATATTTGGTAATCCTATTGAATAGGTCAACACAAGGGGAATACGATCACATCGCGTTTTATTTTTTCTATAATTAAGTAGATCTGAGCGATTGAGTTTGTCGACTTTTGTAAGTTGTTTTTCTACTTCGTTGTTAGAATATCCTCGTTTTCGCAAGATCCTTTTCACTTTATCACGTTGGTTTTGATAGTTTTCCTCTGTGGAACAAATACGACGTGCTCTAAGACCAAGGTCGTACGGAATTGACCTTTTTGTAGATTCGGGATGGCTGGAGATTTTGTTAAGGTACATATGTTTGTCAGTTGGTTTGCTGTAAAGATCTGTTGTAAGAAATCCGTTATCCAGACAAATATAAACATCAAGGAAATCTGTTTTTGTTTTTGAAAAACGCAGGTCAAGTTGAATGTTGGGGTGAATATTATTTGCAGTCATATGGAAATCATGTAATTCTTCTTCTGTCCCCGTCCAGATCCCAAAAAAATGTTGTCAATGTATTTTAGATAAAACAGAGGTTGTTGTTTGCAATTCGCCAAAAGAATATTTTCCCATTCCCCCATGTAAACACAGGCATAGTTTCGTCCCAGTTTGGATCCTATAGCGGTACCTTCGGTTTGGATATAATGTTTATTGTTGGAACTAAAATTATTGTTATCCAGGACAGCATCCATCATTTCTAGAATACTGTCAGTATCTACTTCTTTTTTCTGTTGTTCTTCTAGGATCCTTTTGATAACTTCCCTTGCTTCCTTCCTTGGTATACTTGGATACAGTGATCTAACATCCATGCAAAATAATATAGAAGAATTTGGCAACGGTTGATTCAATGTTGAGAGTTTCCTCAAGAAATCCGTGGTATCTTGTATGTAACTTTTAAGATTTGTTTGCATCCTCGAGCTGTAATTCAACATACTCTGCTAGCTTTTCTGTGGGATGTTGACGGCCATTTACTATAGTTCTCAGCGGGTGATTTTTCTTGTGTACCTTTGGATTGGCCTGTAGTTTACCGGAAGAAATATCTGTTGGTAAAAGATAGTGTCGTAGCTCTGTCGAGATAGATCCTCTTTTATGCATGTTATTCACTA